TCCCTGCCCTAAAAGCCCGGCCTCAGCCCCAACTCACCGGCCAGGAGCAGCAGCAGCTCCCCCAGGCTCTGCTGGTACAGCTCCAGGGCGTCACTGTCATCCCTGCCCTCCTCCTCCTGCAAGAGGCACCGGGGGCTGGCTGGGGTTGGTGGGGTCCAGCAGCCCCCTCCCCACCAGGTCTGCACCTTCCCCTTCCCTCGAGGGGTGAGGGGACCCCCCAGGGCCACCCCTCACCTTGGCAATGGCAGCTGAGGCCACCTCCAGCGCCGCGCACAGCCGGGGTTTGTCCTTGGCCATCTCTGCAAGGGGACACAGGGATTGCCCAAAACCTTCACCCTTCAGCCCAAAACCCCCCCACAGCCCCTCTGCCAGCCCTGACACCAGGGCAAAAATCACTCACTACCTTTAAGGAGCTCTCTGGCCGGGTTTCCTTTCTCCAGGAGGTTCTTGTTGCTGGAGGTGACCAACACCTTCAGCTCCTCTGCTCGGGAGATGTACTGCCTCACCTGTGCACATTTTGGGGGTGAAGAGACCCCCGATTTGGGGTGCAGAGGATGGGGGTGCTGCCCTCACCCCCCCAGGGGTTTTGGCTCACCTTGGCCCGGATGGCTTCTTTGCGCCGCACGTCGCTCTCATCTAAGGGGGAGAACAACCAAACACAGGGGTGGGTGGGCTAAAGACTGGCATCCCTCGGGGTCTGCCCCCCCAGAAATACACCCAGACCCCACAAAACCCCCGGGGGGGACTCACAGTGCAGTGCTGGCACGAAATACTCCAGGGCTTTGCGGTAGAGGGAGAAGGCGGCAGCGGCGTCTCCCTCCTGATCCTTCCTCACCGCCTCCACCACCAGGTCGGTCTGGGGGACACAGGGGGGGTCTCAGGGCTTGGAACGCCCCCATTGGCAGGCAGCAGCCCCCAGCCCCGCTCACCGCCTTGCCCAGGCTCTCGGGGCCGGGCACGTGCTCCATGTCCACGAAGGGGTGGGCAAAGAAGCTCTCGAAGGAGATGCGCTTGCGAGGGTCCCTCTCCAGCAGCTGCCCCAAGAGATCCCGGCATTCCAGAGAGAGCTGGGGCCGGCTGGGAAGCTGGGGAGGGAAGGGGCTGAGCCCACTGAGGGCTGTAAGGCCCCCCTTCCCCAGTCCTATCCCATCCCATCCCACCCCATGCTACCTCCACAGCCCGGTCACTGCGGATTTTCTCTTCCAGCTCGGCGAATGAGCGGGAAGCGAAGGGTGGCTTCCCAAAAAGTGCTTCTGTGGGGGGAAAAGGAGAGGTGGGGGCAGATGGAGAGGGGGAACCAGCCCTGAGTAGAGCTCCCCGAGGCAATAAGAGCCAAACCCACCATAAAGGATGACTCCCACGGACCAGAGGTCCACGCGGGCGTCGTAGTGCTGCCGACACACCATTTCAGGGGCCATGTAGAGCGGGGAGCCCCGCAGCACGTGCTTCTCGTCCCACGGGGACATGTACTGGGCAAAGCCGAAATCTGCCGGGCACAGAGCTCATGAGGGCACAGGGAGAAGGGATTTGGCCCCTGCCAGCCCCTGCCAGGGGATGCCCTGACCTGCCAGCTTCAGCTGGGGGTTCTCTGGGGCGCTCAGCAGGATGTTCTGCGGCTTCAGGTCCAGGTGGGAGATATTGTGGTCGTGCAGGAACTTCAGGGCACAGGCTGGGCGGGTGGATGGGCACGTGAGAGCACAGCCCTGCACCCCAAAACCCTGGGGGAGGGTCCCCAGCAGAGGCAGGGTGGGAGGCAGGCGGGGTGTCCTCACCGAGCTGCTGCAGGAAGACACGTGCCACCTTCTCGGGGAGCATCCGGCGCGTGCGGATGAAGCGGGACAGGTCCCCCCCGGCACAGAACTCCATGATCAGGTAGATGTGGTCACTGTCCCACTGCGAGGCAATGAGACCCTGCCGTGCCACCCCAGCCAGTCCCACCCACACAGCTTCACCTGGACCAGTTTGCCCAGTTGCTGGCACCAAACCCCACGGACACACCCGTGGGAAGTGGGGATGGATCCAAGACAGAGCAGCTCCAGCTCAGAGCCCCCCGGGAAGCCCCAGCCCACCTGGAAGTCCTTGAGCTCCACAATGTTGGGATGGCGGATGGTCTTGAGGATCTCGATCTCTGTCAGCAGGTTCTCCACCGATGCCCGGTTCAGGCTCCTCTTGTTGACGCACTTGATGGCCACCACCTCACGCGTGTCCCTCTGTCAGGAGGGGACAACGCTGGACCCCCACCCAAACAGCCACCGCAGGTGGAGAGGGGAGGGAAGGAACCCCTGCAAGGGGGCGGCAGGTGCCAGACAAGGGCTATGGGGGTGGTACCCCATGTGGAGGGCTGGAAAATGGGGCTCCCACGCGAGTGGGGGGGCAGATTCCGGAGCAAAAAGGCGACCCCCGCGGCAGGCTCGGCCCTACCTTCCTGTAGGCCTTGTAGACGGTGGCGTAGGTGCCGGAGCCGAGGGGCTCGGTGAGGATGAACTCGTCGAGGCNATTAAATGAGCAATTGTTAAAGTGCTGAAACAAACGAGCTGCCACGGAATGCTGGGGAATCTCCCTTCTCCTTTTTGCAGGCAATTAAACTTCCCTGAGAGTGGCTGTGGGAAGGGATGGCCCATCCATGCACCCACTGCTGGTCCAATAGGCAGGATTAATCCAGATTACAGAGCCCTGGGGAAGCCCAAGGCTGGCTCCAACTGACCCAGCTGTCCCCAGCCCATCGTGTGCCTGACCTCGTGTCACCCCACGCGCTGGCACCGCCAGGGTGACAACACAGCTGCCACCTCCCACCTCTCTGGTTGACAATCCAGTCCCAGAGCCACCCTGCGAGAGCTGGGAGAGCCCTTGGGAAGGGCTGGGTGGTGGCATGGATGGGACTGGAGGGGAGCAGCTCCTCCCTGAGCAGCAGAGTGACAGAGGCCATGCTGCCAGGCTGGACACTGCTCGCTTTGTGCCACCTTCCTGTGGGAAATCCAGGACTCTTGGGCAACTAATCAATATATGATTTTTTATATCTATATATAAAAATATAAGTAGAATCCATTTAATGTTTATATTATGTATTTATTTTATACATTTTAACTCTACTGCACACGCTGATCACACATTTCTCATTGGTGTCTTTGCTTGTCCACATGCTCTGCACGCACTTCTCAGAATACGTGATTGGTTGCAGTCCAGGTGGCTCACAGCTCTCTGTTACGTCTTTCTTGTACTCTTGGAATTCAGTTTCTTCTCTTCTTTCTTATTTTAGCACAGTTTATGTCTGAGTAACCTTGATGAATTCTAGAGAACCCTGAGAAAATCCTGGTAAGAGCAGCGACACGACCGGCGCACCTTTTGTCACAGACATCTTTTCATGAAAAATCCTTTCCTTAGGATTTTTCCTCCTGAGAAGCTGAGAGGCCTCAGGAACAAAATGCAAACAATGGTTATCTGCTGCTGTGGAATG